CCATAGGCGTAATGGTTTTTATACTGTACAGACCGTATATTTTATTGCCCTACACCAACCCTACACCTAAACCTACCCCTCACAGGAAACTTTCTGCATTTTTAGATTTTCAAAAAACTTCATTCTGTATGATTTATAAGCTTTTGTACTCATGGGGACCACAATTTAAGTCCCCACGTGACACGAGTCCCCATGAGTCTGTGTGTATTCAGGTTTAAGTCCCCACCAGGATATATAAACCTGTACACACACACACACACACACACGTACACACACACGTGTGTAAAACAATATTTTTAAGCTTCATTCTTAATTTCACTGAACCTTTTTAACCTTCATTCTAAACCTCTGACTGAAATGATCAGTTTATTAATTTTTTATTGTGCACAATATTTTACGGTCATTTCATCCATTATTGACTGAAATAATAAAATCATTTCATTTAAAAATCCAGTGTGTAAATAAACAGCTCTTTGGAATACTTGATTCTGATTTGTATGATTGGATTCTGAAACTAATTATTATTTTTGTTATATTTAAGAACTTTTGTGTGCAATATTTTATGTTCCAAATTACTTTATTTAGTACAAATAAAGTACTTCATTTAGTACAAATATTTTTTTTTTATATATATTTTACAACAATTTATTTGACAATATTTTACACAATATTTGTAGCTAGAGCAATGTGTTTTCTAAAGCTCACGTGTCGCTCGTCTCATACTCACATTGCCGTCATGGCCTCGTTCTGGAAGGTGACGAACACCATGCCCAGCGGTTTGGTGTTGACTTTCTCCTTCTCCTTCCTGTACTCCTCTTTCAGTTTGGCCTCCAGTTTGGTGTAATAACTCACAGCCTCCTCCTGCAACACCACACAGACTTACAGCTCGACTGCATCACAGAACATCAGCAGACACGAGCCTCCAGAAACCATCTATTTATTACTTCCCCCCAGAAGAGCTTTCAATTCCTCTGAATGATTCTCAGACAAGCCACACATGCTTTTATTCAAGGACACGCTATAGGAGTGATAGGCTATTATTGATTAAATTATTTTTATTTAAAAATATATTAAAAACATGTAAATAAATTATTTTGAAGTGATCAGAATATGTTCTGACTTATTTGGAATACTTGATTTTTGATTGCATTCTGATTCTAATTATTTTATTTTCAAATAACCAATTAAAAAGTTGTTTAATGAAACAAAGTAATATATTTTAAATGTAACTTTTCAGTTGTATTTAAAAAAGAATTGGCAAAATACTTTTATTTATTCATTATCAAATCATGAAAAAAAAATGTTTACATGAAAGCAACCAATAAATATTGATGATATTATACTTCAGTAGATATGAATTAAATGAACAATTTTAAATAGCAATCATTAAATGTTGAATATTTATTTCATGTTTAAATATTTACTAAGGTATAATATATTTTAAGTCAATTATAAAGTATTCATATTTTTTTAGACACTTTTTTACATGAAAGCAACCAATAAATGTTGACTATATTATAATTCAGTAGATATTTAAACATTAATAACTCATTTTAAATAAGTCAATTTATTAAGTCCTTATTAATATTTTTACACAACTGTTAGCATGAAAGCAAACCATAAATGTTGACTATTTAATTCATTATCTACTGAGGTATAATATAAACAATTTTAAATAAGTCAATTTATAAATTCGTATTCATATTCGTTTTATATGAACGCAACCAATAGTTGTTGACTATATCGATATTTAAAAATTCAATAATGTATTTATCCTATAATATTTAGAATTGTTTATTACAATAAATATTAAACAATTATAACTACTCAATTCATAAAGTTGTTTATTTATCTGAATATTAATATAATAAGTAGTAATGATACTGTAGGTGGCAAACATTTTCAGAAGCCAAAAGGAAGAAAGTTTGCTTGTATTGGTCAGTGATGAGTTTTTCCTCCAGCAGTAACGCTTTGCACTGTACATTGACAGCACAGAGGCATTGTGGGTAATGTGTTCATACCTCTTCACAGCCTGTAATGGCGCAGCAGCACAGGTGACCGCAGGGCTTGGGGTTAATCATGGCAGGCATGTTCTCCTTAGCCATCAGATCCGTGAAAAACTTCTTACTGCGTTCAGTCTTCTTCCTGCAGGACACACACACACACACGCACGCACGCACGCACGCGCACGCACACAAACACACACGCACACACACACACAAACGCACACACACACACACAAGCACACGCACACACATAAACGCACACACACACACACAAGCACACGCACACACATAAACGCACACACACACACACAAGCACACGCACACACATAAACGCACACACACACACACAAGCACACGCACACACATAAACGCACACACACACACACAAGCACACGCACACACATAAACGCACACACACACACACAAGCACACGCACACACATAAACGCACACACACACACACAAGCACACGCACACACATAAACGCACACACACACACACAAGCACACGCACACACATAAACGCACACACACACACACAAGCACACGCACACACATAAACGCACACACACACACACAAGCACACGCACACACATAAACGCACACACACACACACAAGCACACGCACACACATAAACGCACACACACACACACAAGCACACGCACACACATAAACGCACACACACACACACAAGCACACGCACACACATAAACGCACACACACACACACAAGCACACGCACACACATAAACGCACACACACACACACAAGCACACGCACACACATAAACGCACACACACACACACAAGCACACGCACACACATAAACGCACACACACACACACAAGCACACGCACACACATAAACGCACACACACACACACAAGCACACGCACACACATAAACGCACACACACACACACAAGCACACGCACACACATAAACGCACACACACACACACAAGCACACGCACACACATAAACGCACACACACACACACAAGCACACGCACACACATAAACGCACACACACACACACAAGCACACGCACACACATAAACGCACACACACACACACAAGCACACGCACACACATAAACGCACACACACACACACAAGCACACGCACACACATAAACGCACACACACACACACAAACGCGCACACACACACACACACACACGCACACACACGCACACACACACACACACACACACACACAGAAGCTCAGAGGAAACCTCAGCCCGTCTAACAGATCGATAAAAGGTCTCAGAGGTCAGATCAGTGGATAGACTCATTTCTGAACCTAAAAGAGAAACTTACAGGAAGAGCTTCCTATCCTGAGCCAAATCTGAGCAATTCATTAAAAACAAGAATTTTACCTCTCGGCGTTGAGGGACATCAGTTTGGCCACATTGTAACAAACACGCGCTTCCAGTACGACACAGTTCTCATACGCCTGTCTGAGAGACACAAACGAAGAAATCAACATCTCACACTCACTTTATGATATTTCTGATATCATTATGATATCAGACAAACAGCTAACGGTGTTACTTTGGTTAAAAGAGAATTGTGTGAATTTTTATTTTGGAAATGCAAGAACTACATTTTCTCAAGGCATTTGCTATGACTGAAGTTCATTATGTATAAACACTGTTCAAAAGTTTGCAGTCAGAAAGCTTTACTGTTTGAAAATAAATTAATACTTTTATTCGGCAAGGATGCATTAAATGGATCAAAAGTGTGAGTAAAGACATTTATAATGTCACAAAATATTTCTATTTCAAATGCTGTTCTTTTCAACTTTTTTTTCATCAAAGAATCCTGAAAAATAAAAATGTATCACCATTTTATTTAAAAAAATTTTTTAACTAATGTTTAAATATCTACTGATGTATAATATAGTCAACATTTATTGGTTGCTTTCATGTAAAAAATTGTGTAAACAAATATGAATAATCACTATGAATATGAATAAAACCCGACTTATTTAATTGATATTTAAATATTCACTGAGGTATAATATAATGAACATTTTTTGGTCTTTATTTATTTACTTATGTAAACAATGTGTACAAAATTCATGTTTGCATGATTGCTAATGAATAAATGAAAGTAACTAGCAAATTCCTCTTTAAAATGCAATTTAAAAGTAACATTTAAAATAAATTTAAAATACATTTGAATTGATTAATTGACAATAAAATAATTAAAATCAGAATCCAATCTAAATCAAATATTCCAAGGAACATTTAATAAGTTTTTAATCAGAAATTAATACTTTTATTGATCATGGATGCATTATAATGTTACAAAAGATTTCAAATAAATGCTGTTCTTTTGATCTTTCTATTCATCAAAGGATCCTGAAAAAATCCTGTATCTCTGCTTCCACAGAAATATTGGGCAGCACAACTGATTTCATATTGACTGATAATAATCAGAAATGTTTCTTGAGCAGCAAATCAGTATATTAGAATTATTTCTGAAGGTGACACTGAAGACTGGAGTAATGATGCTGAAAATTCATCTTTGATCACAGAAATAAATTACATTTCAACAGATATTCACATAGAAAACAGTTATTTTAAATTCTAAAAATATTTCCAAATTTTTATCTATTTTTAGATCAAATAAATGCAGCCTCGGTGAGCGGAAGAGACTTCTTTCAAAAACATTAAACTCTTACAGACCCCAAACATTTGAACGGTATTGTACCTTTAGCTAAACATCTGAAAGTCTCTATACACTCCCGTTGTTCATCATTACAGTGAACGAGCAGCCTGTGATGTTTTCTTCTGATTTCAGCAGCTCGGTCTCAGGTAAAATGACATTAGACACTCGAGTCTATTCATAGCTCCTCCCCAGCGCCTCATCACACTCATTTTTGGCTGATCGGCTGCATGACTCTAATTTAAAACACTCATTTAGACAATTACGGCAGATGCTTGCAGAAGCGGAGCTCCAGAGAGAACGTAGACATCCCTGACGCCCGCTAACGCACAAACCACACGTGATTTTAATATTTGACATGATTTACAGTGGGCAGATATTCCAGTGACCCATTTAGGATGTTAATGTAAAGGGAAAAAATTGTGTTTGAAGCATAAAGAGGAGAAAAAGAGTGGTCTTACTCAAAGTGCTGTTTTATATGGCTTTCTTCTGCATATTTGGAGATGCCGTTGATAAATAAAGTGCGTTTGACCTGAGGAGAGAGGGGAAAGCATGATATTTGGGTTATTTACACATGCACAGACGCTGGAGGACGTTGCAGTGCGGATCGAGGTTAAACACTCGGCTCAGAAATGTAGGTCAGGGCTATATAGACGGACTTCATGAATATTTCATAAGCGTTACAGCATGACTAATGATGAGCTGCACACGTCACAAGACTCCTCCAGATGGCTTTTCTGTTATTACTGTATACAAAATAAAGGAAACGCTCAGCCAAAAATCATTTAATCACATTGCAAACCAGTATAACCCATACAGAGATGTTTAGCAAAATGTTCATTCTGCACTTTTTCCATTTAAAATCTGCATACTATTTCAACATTAAGAGTCCGTTCGGACCTGAAGAGTCGTTATTTCATAAAACAAAATATTTGTCATCTAAAACCAAATTGTATCTGATTAGCAACTTTTAAATAATTGAGCGCATGTGAAAACATTTCAATGTTTTGAATGCTTTTATTAATTAAAATGTTGAGAAATACTTTGAAATTTCAAATTGCACATGAACCATGACAAAAAAAAACTACATACAAAAAAAAAAAAGTTTCAAACAAAATAAATGACATTTTTACTTGCATTTTCTTAGACTCTCTTCAAATGATGGACAAAGGCCACACTCTAACAAACAGTGATAAGCAGTCAGCTGCTCACTATCATAAAATAAACCTTGACCGGCTAATCAGAATCCCAATTTGCAGACTTAGTACACAGAGATTAATAGATAAATACATAAATAAATTGAAATTAAATGAAATATAAATTTGAGTTTACATTATGTGAGAAGAAAGAAACTATGAAATAGTATGAAACAATTATTATTAAACTAGCAGCGCTATTTAGGAAAAAAAAAACAAAAAAAAAAAAAAAAAAAAATTAAAAAAAAAAAAAAAAAATTTTTTTTTTCAAAAAATTTACAAAAAAAAAAAAAAAAAAAAAAAGATTTCCATTTTTCATGCTGCAATGGTTCATCAACAGGCATACATGTTACTTTTTTAACACAATTCAGTCCCAAAAGTGTGTGAGATATGGGGAAAAATATAACTTCTGACTAATATAACTTCATAGATAATTTTACAAAAAGTATTTCTGACACCTACCTAATGGTACCCGGGTCCTAAATGACCCAAACATACAAAATGTAACATTATTTTTTTTATGCATCTCTTCCAGGCCAAAGCGGACCCAAATGCATTATGAGGGTGAAAAAGGAACTGTTCCTTTAAATTGATGCAGTTCACATACCAGATCATCTTCTTTGTAGTGCATCTTGGACGTGTGGCGTCTCATGCTGTAGACGGTGAGGAGCAGGTACATGAAGGCAAATGATGTGTGCAGCCATAAAAGGTTATTTCTGAATCACAGAGAGAAAGAGACACGTCCACTTTACCCAGAATACTCAAAATGCATCATGACATCTTCAATTAAAGCACATGGGGGGGGTTGCAATATTTGTGCAATGAATAAAATGTCTCACCCAGAATTCAAGTTGGCGATTGTTGTGCGTCCAAAGCTGTATGCGTTATTTTCTGAGGGAAAAAAATGAAAACAACAACTTAATTTGTGCTTTTGAAAGCTAACAAAAGGGTCATTCTCAGGAAACACTGTGTGCTGAACACAGTCACAGAATGCAAAAGAAAGAAAGAAAAAAAATGTTAATAATTAAAGATATAATTGCATAAAAACAACTAAAGAAATAATACAAACTTAAAATAGAAAATAAAATAAATTAAAATAGAAAATCCAATAAAGTAATTAATTAATTAAAATAATAAAACAAAACAAAAAACAAAAATTATCAAATCTGAAATGATTAAGAGATGGAAATCAATAGAATCAAATAAAAGAATTAGATACATGAAACAAAAAAAATTAAATAAAGAGAGTGCATAAGTAATATTTTTAAAATTGCATTATTAGATAAAGCAAATGAGGAGATATGGGGACAGTGAGAAAACTAAACTAAAATACTAAATACTTAATAAAATACTAAAACACTAAACAAAATTAACAAATAATACTAAATAAACTAACTAAATAAATAATAAAAACTATACAGATTATAAAAAAGATAAATAAAATTACTTTAAAATTCAAATGTAAACTGAAAATATAAAAATAGAGACTAATTCAAAATATTACAATAATAGTACATCAATGATAGTACCGCTGGCCCGTACCTTCTATCTAAGGTCTCAAACATACATAAGAACTATAGATATGAAATTTCATATTTTGATGCAATGCAATGTGCTGCATCTGAGAAGCAGCTGCTCAAGCAGTTTCTATTGTTACTTTGCATGTCTAAATGGCTCATAAAACAACAAACTATAATATGTCTCTTTACATGCTGCTCAGACGACCTCTTCCTGCCCAAACATTTGCATCAAGCCTGTTTCTGACCGAACTCTCTGTCCTCTGTGACTCTGTCCACATTGATCCCGTCTCTAAGGACTCGTGCAAAGTGTCCTCATCTGTTTGACCTCTTCCCATTAGTTTTTGTGTCTTTGGGCCGCTCTCTCTGTCCTTTTTCCCTGCAACAGGCATCCAATTACCCAGCGAGCAGATAGAAGTTCAATCTCATTACTGGAGCGGAGCGCTGTGGATTAACCCTCTCTGATGATAATCTACAGCACGCCACGCGAGAGGCCAGAGAGACGGGACAGCGTCTAATGATGGAGAGTTCTGTGCTCAGAAAAACATAACCTGACGATAATGGGAGTTGTATATCTTTTAACTTTATCTTCGGCCGATAAACATCAGCAATAATCACCAGCTCTTTGTGGCCGATACAGTAACTCATGATTGAATGTGTGAACATGTAAACAGCCCACATATACAGATGCTTTTTAGCATCTAGAGGTTCCACTTGTTGTCATATGATGCGATTTCAAGTTTTCCTTTCTCTTTGGAGTGTTACAAGCTCTTGGTGCATAAAGAAGATCTGTAAAGTTGCAAAGACTAAAGTCTCAAATCCAAAGAGATAATCTTTATAAAAGTTAAGAGTCAACCACGCCTACCTACTTGTCAAAGGAGGGGGCTTTGTTGAAAACGACGTGTTTGAGAGAGGCGGGGCATAGAGGACCTACAATAATGTACAGTATTTGAAAAATAATTTGTTTTTTTGAACATTAAAGCATGTCAACATATTCGGTTACACCAAATACACAAAATAATGATCTTTAAAATAGCATCATATGACCCCTTTAATCCTGTAAAGGCTGACATATGAAATTTAAACCTTTTTTAATGGAACCATTTATTGAACCTTCAGACAAAATCTTAAATACATAAATGTTAATTAAAAATTAAAAGCTAATTAAAATCTGAAAAATGTAAAATAAAAAAAAAATTTTTTAATCATTATATGTATAATGAAAATAGATTTTAAATGAAAATCAAATTAAAATAAAACATTTACTAAAAGTTAATAAAAATCATAAAATTGATAATTTTAAAATAATACACTTAAATAATAAAATCATGAAAAAAAATAAAATAAAAATACACATAATTAATGAAATCATTTTAAAATGATAAAAATAAAAACAACTACAAAATTAATACGGTCATAAAAATTTACAATTGAGAAAAATAATTTTAAAATAAAGCAAATCTAAACAAAACACTTTAGAAATGAATAAAATTATAAAATATACAGTTCAAATAAATGACTTTAAAATAATGATCTAACCAAAATGCTTGCTAAAAATGTATAACAAATACATTTAAAATAATTAATTTTACAACATCAATATAAAACACTATAAATTAATAAAATCATAAAACTATTAAAATATTAAAAATATACAAATGTTATTCTTTTGTTTACTTTACGAAAATCTGTTAAGATTTCACAGCAAAAAAGACACGTGAAGCTCAAGCTTGTGCAATTATGCTAGAAGGCCTTTTACTGGCTAAATATGTAAAATACTTGTTCAAATATGATACAGTAGGCTTTACAGGGTTAATTAATCCTTACAAAAAGAACAGAAAATGGCATATATTTACCTGCAACAGACAATACTGATTAAAACGAGCCAAAATTAATAATCAGCGTTGAATACATTGGTCACCGATATATCATGCATCACTACTTTCAAGTGAAACATCTACTTTAAGTGAATATAATACTTTTCATCACCTCTAACGGACCTACAATCGCACCGCTGACCTCTGACCTCAGGACTCACCCAGCAGGTTGCCTGAGAAGTTGACCGGCAGAACGATGCCCACCGACAGCACACCCACCACAACCAGCAGACCGATGATGTGCCGCTGGAACGACAGGTAATGAACGGCATCTTCACCACACTTCTCCCGGATCTCCTCGTCCCTGCGGGGAACGAGACTCGCGTTAGCCACCCCTCATACTTCATGATAGAGAGAACATACAGAGAGAGAACGCCTGATTACAGAGTATGGACTATAGACAATAAAGAATGGAATAATAGTTTTAGGTACGGAATTGTAAGTACATAGTATGGATGGCAGCGTGCAGACTATGTAATATATAGTACAAGTATGGGGTAAATAGTATACTTTACTTCCATTGCTAAAAAGGCCCAGCAGAGGTTGTACTTCCTTCGCCAGCTGAGGAAATTCAACCTGCCACAGGAGTAGGGCTGGGAACCGAGAACTGGTTCTTATTTAGAACCGGAACCGTGAGCAATTTATAAGTTTCGATTCCGAAAACGGTTCTGGTGCGACGCGTGACCAAGTGTTGTGTCCAGCCTCTGCCCTGCCGTTTCCCGTAAAGGATGTCACAAACCAAATAACAGAAACGCCTCCCTACCTCTTCAATTACTGAGCATGAATAGCTCTAGAATGAATAGATTGAGGAATACTAAGAAAGTTGATGTCTAACTTTAAAAAATGAAGGAGGGAGAGGGTAGAGAATGATGTCCCGGGTCGCTAAAGACCCGAGGTATGCATTTCAGGGTTAAATATTTAGATTTAATAGGCTATTTATTTTCAAACATGCCCTAGTGTTGAAAGTGTTTTGATTCTTTATTGTTCGGTCAAACTTTACATTAGGACTTCATTAGTTAACATAAACTGCCAATGTTTTCATTACATTCTTCTAAACATTCATTAATCTTAGGTAATTCCAATATTTAATAACACATTGTTAAAATCAAAAGTTGCAACAGTGTTATTTAATGAGCTAACATGAACTAAGAGTTGTATTTTTTTTTAACAAAGATTAATAACTTCTGTATTAAATGCAGCTATTGCTCATTGTGAATGTTAATGCATTAACTAATTTAAATGTTTCTAAATTATTTAAATGTTCAGTTATTGTTGTTATAAGAAAAATTGTTATTAAACCTGTTATACTGGACTATGACAACAATTTTTTGCAACTAAATTCCAATACCGCAATAATACCGTATACCGTGATAAAAGCATTATCAATTAATCACAACATGAAAATTTGATAACGGCATATCCCTAGTCTGTACTTTCTTCTGCACTGGAAGCTCCTGTCGTCAAGTCAAATTCCTTGTGTGTGTGTGTAAACATACTTGGTAATAAAGCTCTTCTGATTCTGATTCATAGAATATATAGTATGGATTATGGAGCAGTGAGGTTTCTAAGGGACTCTAAGGGAAATGCAGGAAGTTTGCGAGTTGAAGAAAAGCTAATCAATTAAAATCATAAAAATACAAAATTAAAATAAATAATTTAAAAATAGTGAAAATAAAATCAATTAAATTCAGCAAAATAAAATGCTTACTAAAAAGTTATAAAATCATAAGATGTGCAACAAAAATACATTTAAAAATAATAAATGACAAATATAATTTAAATAAAATGCTTGATAAAAGTTTTTAAAAAATCATAAAACTGTACAATTAAAAAAGATAATTTAAAAATAAAACACTACAAAATAATAAAAATATACAATTAAGAAAAATCCTTTTAAAATTAAACTCATACTATCTGAATACATGAAATAAACCATAAAATATTGAAAGTAATTATTTAAAATAATAATAAAAATAAACTGCTTGGTAAAAACTAGTCAAAAGATTAATCGTGATTAATCGCATCCAAAATAAAAGTTTTTGTTTATATGTGTGTACTGTGAATATTTATTATGTATATATAAATACACACACATACAGTAAATATTTTGAAAATATTTACATGTATTTAAATGCAAATATTTATATTCTTATATTTTATATTATATATAAATATATTTAACATAAATATAACATATTTTTCATGAATATATACATGCATGTGTTTGTATTTATATATACATAATAAATATACGCAGTATACACATATATTATGCAAACAAAAACTTTTATTTTGGATGCGATTAATCGTTTGACAGCACTAGTAAAAATGCATAAAATCATAAAAAATACAATTAAAATAAATTATAAAACATCAAAATAATTGTTTTAAAATTAAATCATTAAATTAATTAAATCAAAAATATACAATTTCTTAATACAAGTTTAAATAAATAAATAAATCATACAATTGTACAAAGATAAATAATTTTAAAATAAAACACTACAAAAATAACCATTAAAAATATACAATTAAAAATAAAAATCTAAATAAAACTTACTAAAAACGAATAAAATCATAAATGTACAATTAAAATGAAAACAATTAAAATAAAACCCTTGTTAAAAAAGGGTTTGTTTTTCAAGGTCTAGCACTGTGTTCTGTTGTGCTGTGCTATTGATATGAACAACCTCACATTAAAGTCAAAGAGCCACTTACTTTATTCTGAATATGGCCGTCAACCAGGAACAGAAGCCCTGCAATGAAAACACATCAAACTATGAATGTGTGATGAGCGCAGACACACACACACAGACAAATTACTGCATATATTAATACTTTGGGGTTTTATGGCTTAAACATGTCGGGCCAAGCCTATAAAAGGCTCTCTGTGAGAGTATGTGAGGATGCTGGCTGATTTCTCCGGCAGAATTAGAGGTGAACACAGGTGAAGACAGACAGGAGATGCTGAAGTCCTGCACTGATCTCTTAAGAGGCTGGAAAACAGGCTTAAGATGGCATCCCAAGGGCCGATTTTGGTGGGTGATATCACCTGTTAAATTTTCCTGCTGAAATCTCATCCTACACAGGTTTTTGATGTCACCTGTGAGTGAGGCTAAATCACACATTCCCCTCTATATTAGTGGTTTACCGATATATTGCCAAGGCCGATATATCGACCAATATTTGGCATTTTTCAACTATTGGTATCGGACAATCAGTTTTTCTCTGTGGCCAATGTGTTGATATTCCCAAGGTCAATAAATCATCTAATATTTGAAATTTTCCAATTATCGGCATTGGACAACCAGTTTTTGTGTTTGGCCGATGTGTCGATATTGCCATGTCTAATATATATCGGCCGATATTTGACAGTTTTTAAACTACTAGCCGATCAGTTAGTGTGTTTGGCAGATGTGTTGATATCACCAAGGCCGATATACTGTATGGTATTTTTCAAATATCGGTATTGGACAATCAGTTTTTTTTCTGTTTAGCCGATGTGTTGATATTAACAAGTAAGGGTGTAACGATACACGTATTCGTATTGAACCATTCAGTACGAGGCTTTCGGTTCGGCATTACAAGCCGAACGATTCGTTGGACTAATCCTATTAAATTTGGAAAATAAAATAACTTAGTGTGTGAAATATAATGTTCTCAGTGCCACTGCGCTCACCAAGGCAGCCTAAACGACGTAACAGGCAACGCACTGTCTGCCCCGCGATAACCTCCCTTTGCTGGGGTGCGTTGAAAGACGATGATCTTGTATCGACGATATTGTCAAAAACATCAATTATTGGCAATATTATGAGGATTTGGCATTTCCAATTAATGTAGGCCTGTTACATTCTTATTTTATTAGGCCTATTATTAATAAGAAGTTACTTTTATAATTAAATTAAGATTATACAATTAATTTGCCCCGCAAAAATTAGCCTACCACATAACTGAGGATTACAAAAGATTAGGCTATTTACTCCTCGATTAAAATGTTTAAAAAAGGTAAAACAGGTCTATTATACAATGAATTATAGGTCTATAATTAAAATATTAACACTGCAGTCATCAATAAAAATCAATGAAATAAAAAGTTTTATTTCAAGCACCGACTTTCAAAAACAACCTGTTTTAACACAAAATAAGTTTCTTTTTTTTTTTTCCCACTATGTACGGGCCACAAGAGAAATATTAAGGGAATAAATGAAACCAGTTAGTTATTTACCGGTATCAGCATATGTTGAAGTAGATTCGTCTCTCGTCGTCTCTGAGAGAATATGCGGCGTCAGATGCTGAAAGCTCTATCATTACTCCATCATTTCGTTTTTACTTTCACTTTCTGCATATAGTGAATTGACTGAGATTAAGACGTTCACCGGCATAACTCTTGCGCAAAGTTTGCACGTTGCTTGTGTGATATCCACTGGCTCGCCTTCATGGTTTAAAACATAAATTTACCCCCCCCCCGTATTGAAAACGTACCGAACAGTGACACCACTGTGTCGTATCGAATCGAACCGTGAATTTTGTGAACCATTACACACCCATATACAAGACCGGTATATCAGCCATTATTTGGCATTTTCTAAACTATCGGCCAATCAGTTTTTCTGTTTGGTCAATGCATCAATATCAACATCGCTGTATGGCCGATGTGTTGAAATTGCCATTTTTTAAATGTGCATAAGCCAATAAGTTTTTGTGTTCAGCAGAGGTGTCGATACCACCAAGGTCGATATTATCAGCGGATATTTGACATTTTTTAAATGTTGGCCAATCTGTTTTTTTGTTTGGCCGATGTGTCGATATTGCCATGGCCAATATATTGGCATTTTTTTCAGCTATTGGCCAGTCAGTTTTTCTGTGTCAATATCAACATTGCTGTATGGCCGATGTGTCAATATATTATTTTAATTAACAATTAAAAGCAGTAAGTAAAACAAAAGTATTATAAAAGTAAAAACATTTTTGTTTAACTATTATTTTTAATTTAATACATTTTAATGTACAGCATTATAGTTGGATTATATATGATGCAACATTTACTTTTAGCCTGCAAGCTTCAATCAAATGTAATTTTTGGCCCTTCGTATTAAAACATTTGGGCACTACAGTTTTTTTTTTTTGAATCATTCAAATAATTTTGACATTTATTTAGTTTCAAATTATTACGTGAATATATAAATAAATATAAATTTCATTTCAGCAGTTATGTTTTTTTTTTACAATCTATAAATTAAATATTGTGATATCATATATATCAGCTTTATGCTGACCATTAAAAAAAAAATCAATTTTAGTCACCCACTACTCTAAATCACTTTAAGGGATCCTGAGGTTTCAGTTTGAGGGAGTTTATTTGGAGGTTTTGTTGAGTCAGTTTCTCTCCTGAAGGCTTCTGGGGACTTTCAAGGACGCCGTCCAAAACGAGCACAGAAATGCTGGTTCATCATGACTGTGATTTAAAACGAAATGATGGAGGGAGGAAGTTCTCGCCCTCTATAAAAGCCTTTGGTTCTTTCCAAGCGTATATAACGTTGATGTGAGGTCAGTGTTGCATGGAAAAATCAATGGAGTCCATGGGAAGCGAGAGGGGCTGGGAGACACGCTTTGGGAAACGGGTAATAAAGACATTGAGTTTGATCCAAAGTAAAAGTCAAATCGACAGCTCGTATGGAAAATAAATTGTTTCATGAAAGGAATTACTTTAACGTCCCTTTAACTTGGCTTTTCTTTCAGATACATTTACTAAAAAAACTCTTTCTTCTGCTCTTCTGCTCACCAACGCTGCATTTATTTGATCAAAAATACAGTAAAAACAGGAATATTGTGAAATATTACAATTTAAAATAGCCGTTTTCTATTTGAATATATAGTCATAATAGAAATCTTTTGTAACATTATAAATGTCTTTACTGTCACTTTCGATCAATTTAGTGCATCCTTGCTGAATAAAATTATTAATTTATGGATGTGTGGATGCAGATGGGAGGAGGGGACGGGGCCAAAGGAGTGATCAGTGTCACACGATCCTTCAGAAATCATTCTAATATGCTGATTTGCTGCTCAAGTTGCTCAAGCTCATGTTGAAAACAGTTGTGCTGCCCAATATTTTAGTGGTACTGTCACTTTCGATCAATTTAGTGCATCCTTGCTGAATAAAATTATTAATTTATGGATGTGTGGAGGCAGATGGGAGGAGGGGACGGGGCCAAAGGAGTGATTGACAGGTGTCTTACATTATCTCGCTGTTCGAAATCTACCGAGCTGGAAACGGAGGTGAGACGTTCATATCGGTCCGGCGTTTCAGAATGAAGGGCTGAAGCCACACTGTACACAAACACAGAGACAGAAAGCAGAAGGAAAAAGAGAAAGAATCAAATGAGAAACACTGGCTCAGGTCTTCTGAAGAGTTCAAGTGGATGTTTTTGGTTATTCTGAAGGCCGAGCGGAGCCGGACAGTCAGAAAGCCAAAACGTTCAGGTCCACTCAGGCAAATATAGGTCAGTCTCATCTCAGGGTAGATGGGATATTAAGTATTTACGGGCTTGAGGAGCAGAGGATACATCTGTAATGCACGTTTCCCTCCGTATGCTAAAAGATATTAATCCACAGTTGAGACGAAGCCTAATCTACCAAAACACACCGCAGCACAAACACAGATCTACACACCCTGACAGGAAGATGCTCATGCTCCTTAGACTCAGTTTTGAGTGTTTAGATCTTAAACATTCAAATCCAAAGTCATTTATGTGCTTCAAAATAAAAATGTAATAAAAATAAAATAAGAAAATCTTATTCAATTAGGCTGATATACACATATTTCCTACATATAATAATTAGATAATAAAAAAATTAATAAGACAAAAATAAAATAGGCTTATTAAATTGATTACTCTTTACTAATCCATTTTAGCAATTTATTTATGCACTTTAAAATAAAAATGTAAAAATAAACAGCAATTGCTTTAAACAGATTAAACTATTATTATCTCACATATTTCCAGATTTTTTAAAAATATAAATGTTTATTTAGATCAACTTATCAACCCGATTACTCGTTTATGAACACATTTTAGCACCTAAAGTCATTTATTTAAGCATTGCTCACTAGCATTGATGAAAGTTTCATACCGAGCTGTTTTAAAAACTGTACTTGAGGACATTATTTAAGTTCCTAGCTGAAAACCAGCAGGTTTAACGGGCCGGATCCTCTTTTTCTTTGTGAGAAACGATTCCAGAACAGCACTGACACACTTTGAAAAAGGATCCTGTCAAAATCATTATTACCGTGGTTTCTCTGCTGCAGGTCTGGATGACTGACAGACTCATTAGACTAACAGAATAAGGAGGATCCGTGAGGGACGCAGGAATCATCCTCTCTGAAACACGTGCACTGCGGCGTCTCAAATGCAGTGATAAGAACAGAGGTTCAATAGGTAACCGGGTCAGAATGAACATTTAACAAATGAGTAAAAATAAATCCCTGAGTTAAGCGTTTCCTGACCTCAGCACTGAGTAACACACTGAACCGAGTCCAAGCTCTGTTTCTACACTTGTTTTCATTCGTCAACACATCACCTGCCAATCAAATCAAATCAATAAGATAGCAGTGTTTGTGCGGCAAAAAACTCTGCTGATGCCATGAACAGACTCTGCTGGTTTAGAGCTAAAGCGAATTAAATTCTATACAGCTTGTGATTTATACTGTGTGTATAGGAATAGACCAGAAGTCACTGGACTACTTTTATATTCTATGTCTGACTACTTCAATGATGCTTTATGGTTGTAGTTTTTAAAGATGCAATGTGCAAATAAAATAAAATAAAATACAAATAAAAAAATAAAATAAAATTAAAGCAAAATAAAATGTAACAACAACAACACTAATAAATTAAAATCAAAAATATAAAAATGAAATAAAATATTTAAAAAAATTACTGTATAATATTATACTATATAACATTTCTTACATTTCCTTTTTTATTACATAATTTCTTATATGCACACTAAGAAAAACAAAAATAAAACAGATAAACAACTCGTTTACTGGTTGACTAGTCACCTTTTGTGACTCATCCCTACTCTGGAACATCATGAGGGTGAATAAAATTCTAACAGAATTTTCATTTTTTGGTGAGATATTCCTTTTAAATCCATTTGAAATGGACTAATTCGCTGTTTCGGACTATTAGGGCAACTCCGGGAGAACAAGGACACCGTCATCTACAGCTAAAATGACCTCAGTGGCTCCGTTGTGGAGATCACATCCACCTACGATCACCAAATCACTCTACATGAGAAGATACACATTCACAAGGGCAGGATGACTCACAATACTCAGGGGTCTCTTTGGATCCACTTTTGGGGTCACAACGGGTCAGAAAGACACGCTAAAGCTCTTTTACCTGCGTACAGGCTCATAGTTACTCCGTTCCTTCCTCCTACTGTAGTCAAATAACAAACGTCACAAAGAGAGACATGAAGGGCAGGCAGTTATTGACACTCGTGTGTTAGAGGCCCTTCGGAAAGCCGAATTTACACACATGAGTCAAACATCACACACACACACATACACACAGCAGAGTGTAACAAAGTTCATAGTTCGGGAAGAAGGAGGCGGGAACCAGCGAACATTTAAACCAAACTTTAATCAAATAAACAAACACAAAACGAAAGTAAAGCGGCAGCCCCTCGCGGACGACTGCCGCACACAAAACACAAAATAAAATCCAGGCCTGGTCCTCTCTCGTTCGACACGGTCGTCACTCCTCCCTTTTATCCTTCCGGAGCTCCTCCGTGAGACTCGAGACCGGTGAGTGGTGCAGGTGTCGCTCATTATCAATTACTCCACCGGCCTCGCTCCGTTCCCACGGCTCTCGGCCCCGCCCCCACTCGTCACACAGAGGAATATTAATATGTGGTGAGCAGTGAGAGAAAACACTCAGGAGAGCAATCACACACAGACCTTTAAAGCAACATCTTGTGTGTTAGATAAAGGTCAAAGGTGAGGAACCCCCACAATTACAAACCATTACACACACATACTAGTTTATCAGAAGAAGTGAGAGGTTAGTTCTTCATTGAGCAGAATAAAGCAGAGGAACAATAACTGAACATACTACTCCCGCTCCTCCAGACCGCTGAATCTTCTCTTCTGTCTTGGGAAGGAAAGAAAACAAAAACAAGAGGAAGGAAAAATAAGCTTGAATTCATTCAGATCAATAAATCTCTGAAGACTGCAGCTGTCAGAGCTTCAGCTGTGGAAATAGAGTGGCGTTAGTTGAGAAGTTGAGATACATGATATACTGTATCGGAGAACATATCAGTATCTCCCAATATACTTTAAAGATGACAACATGTGCAATTACAATACTTTATTGCAAAGGAATAAAATAAAATATAAAAATGAAAACAAAATAAACAAATATAACATCTATAAAAAATAAAAAGTAAATATAAAAAATACAAAAGAAAATATAAAAAATAAAATAACATTTTAAATAATATATAAAAATAAAAAAAATGCACAAAAAATAAAAACTAAATGGAAAAAAAATATATATATATAACAATTCAAAATAAAATATAAAAAATTTAAAACAAAAATAACATTTTAAATAAAATTTCAAAATAAAAATACACAAAAATAATATAAAATTAAAAATGTAAAAAAAAAAGTGAAATATAAAAATTAAATATAAAAAAATTAAAAATAAAAGAAAAACAAAATAAAATGCAAAATAACATTAGGTGCAGTACAGTCAAATCCCAAAATATAATGACGACCCAATACTAGTGTGCACAGTCAAAAGCTGCAATGCACATACATTTCTGTGATGTTTCAATGAGTCTAGGATACTCATTTAATGCCAACAGCTGCTTAAAGCAGCTCAATTTCACCACATTACAGCTGTGCTTTCACTTCAGCATTGGCGTGTAAATCTGTTCATTATAAATTGTACAGTCACAAGAGCATAAACTGCAGTCTCGTGTTTAATGTACAGTCCACGTGTGAAACACCGAATCAGCGATTTGAAGGGTCTTTCCCTCTGGAGTGTGTCGCTGTAATTACAGACGGACGCTGTGCAGTCAGCAGCATGCAGTGGTCCAGAAACACTGTAATCTACAAACCACATCAATATACAAAAGTCAAAGGCATTTTTAAATTGCCTTTGGTCATAGATGACGGAAATGTGAGATTGAGTGAGAGGATGGACGAATGTACACACAGTGGAAGACAGCAAGAAGGCAGCTGGAGAAGTAAAATTGCCCTACAAAGCTCATCAAAGCTCTATTTCCTGTTTCCACTCTACTACAGGAAGAAGCAAAGCATCGAACAGACTTTTAACAAGAAATCAATTTATACAACAGCCTTCAGAATCACAAATATGCAAATGGTACCCCTCAATAATGCCCCAAAAATCAAGGTAGTACCAGGGTAGGTTACTGTAGTGCTGGGCGGTATACCGGTTCATACCGAATACCGGTGTTTATTTTTGTTGACTCCTGGTTAACATGTATTAAAAGGGGTCGTGTTTAGTCACTATTTAGTGTGGTATTTTTTGACAATATTCACTCATCGTGACAGTAAAATAGGGCATTCTAAGTCAATATACTGCAGTATTTCCTCTCTCAATCAGTAGAAAATATGGTTAACACCTGGTCATGCATGAAAAAAAAAAATACCGTCATGTACCGTGAAACCGGTATAATTTTGAAAAATACTGTGATATAAATTTTTGGTCATACCGCCCAGCACTAGGTTACTGGTTAGTGATCACCAGATTAAACTGCAGCTCTTACAAGCTCAGGCTTTAAAATGATGTATGTGGCACTTATGTAACCAAGTTAAAAAAAGACAATGCCAGCGGCTCAGTCTATTTCCAGCAACCTTAATAAGCAGCAAATAATACATGGTTGATTCAATGGAAATGACATGTGGGAACATTTCTGGCTCCATTCCGCACCAGCGAGGGAAGGGAAAAAAACACTAAACAAAGAAAAGCAAGAGGAGGAAGAGCAGAGTGAAAACAGCAAATATGCTCAGTGATAATGAAATGCACTGTCTCATGAAGCAGAGGGCTTGTGTGAGTGGTTTTTAATTCACTTCCTTCCCTGCCAAAGAAATGTCAGCGGATCATGAAGGTTTTTGGGTGCGTTTAGTTGCACCTGGATATTCAAGCTGTGAGACTGGGCGAAATCACACGTGGGGTGTACAGATGGACGAAGACTATCTATATGAGGCAGAACCTGATTTATAACGATCCAAAACTACTAGCATCATCAAGAGACACTCCTGAAAGTACATCATTTAGAGGATTGTGATTCATTAATTCATTCGGTACACATGAGTCAATTAAATGTTTGGCCATGGCCTGTTTCTACTAAAAGAAAATTCTACGTAAATTCTGAAAGCAATGCTCAAACTTAATAAAACTTGGCACATATGAACATCAGGACAATCTGAGGACACACACCAATTTTCATCCAATTCCGTCCATAGGGGGCGCTATAACTAGGAAATCCTTATGAATCTGCAACTTTGATCAAGGAAGTTCAGTTCTCGGACAACAATTTTTATGTTCTACCAAACTGTGGTCATTTTCTCAACTTTTGCCATTTATTTAGACCCTCAAGATTGCAAAATTTGGCTATAATTTGAGTTGTTGTTGAGCTGTGTTCGTCTTTATTTGGCATAAATAGAGCAATGAGCATGGGTCTGAAAACCAAGGAGGTTACTTTTTTGTAACACTATCATTTCTCAAAAAACAGACCTAAATTTCATCCCATGAGACAAAGAAAGACTATTTCATCAGTAACCAGAGGTAGTGGTCTTTCAGTTTACTCAGATGTGTTCTTAAGACCTGTGGTTAGCAGAAAGTGATGGTTAATCTCAGTGATTCTACTCAAACATCAGGTTTGCGGCCATTATTGGCCACTTCTGGCCACCATAGGTGGTACTCTATGAGAGGACTTCATTGATTGGATGAGATGATGTCCACTGATGCTGGTCGTTTCAGTTCACAGTGTGGAACAGGGATTCTAGGCATTTTCTCCACATCTGCCAAACCCTGTCATTTTTCAGACTGTGTACATGGGTGAAAAAGAGAGCATTTCATCCTGGCGTTTTTTGAATCCCGAGTTTTCTTTTGTTTGGCATTTTCCAAGTAAAACACCATACTAGTGGTCGACCGATATTGTTTTTTTGACAGGGAGGCACTGCCGTTCTCAGCGCCGTCAAAATAAAAGTTGACGTACGGCTCGAACGCATCGGCCAAACAGGAAAATTTATCGGCCGATGCCGATATTTAAAAAATGCCAAATATCGGCCGATGTATCGGCCTTGGCGATATATCGGTCGACCACTACACCATACACACCTTCTAAAAAGAATATAAACAAGAATTGAAGATTGCACACCAATGAAAATTCGTTCAATTTGACATCCAAATGACACCCATAAATCAGGCAGGTTTGACAGCAACATGGCCTTACCTGTCAGCATCAGTCACCAGGGCCAGACGGCCGTAATCCCATGCCACTTTCCGCAAGATGGAGAAGACAAAAAGAAGAACCTGAGAGATGGAGATACAGAGACAATCAGCCATGTGATAAAGAGAGAAGTCAAGCTAATACACAAATTCAGTTAAAAGAAATGTGCTCAAGGCCAAATGTTTACAAGCATATTGTGAAATAAATCATTACTGTGACATGAAACTGTCCATCCAATAATGTAAAAAAGTCATACTTCTTAGGTGAAAAAAAACACTCTTGAAAGAACATAATTTAGGGGATTTTTATTTATTAATTCATTCAGCACGCAAACACAAGCCAATTAAATGATTGGCCATGGCCTACTTCTACTAATGAATGTATCTTCTGAACACAATGATCAAACTTAAATGACATCTGGTACATAAGAACATCAGGACAATTTAAGGGAACGCACCAACTTTCATACAATTCCACCCATAGTGGGCGCTATAACTAGAAAATCCTGATTAATCTGCAGTTTTGATCAAGGAAGTTCGGCAATAACTACCAGACAACCAGGTCAATCCATTGGTGCCAAGGTCAACATTCTGAAATTATGTTCCATTAGTATAGCACAGCACTGCAGTGTAAATTTAGATCTGTCAAAATTATTAATATTTTTTTTTAAACGGCATTATTAATAGATGGATTAAATTGACTGCATGTAGACAGGAAAAGGCTGAGTTTGTCATCTCTTCGCCAGATCATCATGAAATGCCAATTCTCACCACTAGATGTATAACATAGATGTACATTTTAATAATCATTTTGCTGTGTTTGGGCATTTTACAGCTAATATTATTACAATAATATTTTTGTCTTCTTCTACAGGCAGAGCTCAAATACATCAAGGTGCACATTTTTCCATACAGGACACTTACCAGGAAGCACATAAAGTCCAGCGCGAGGACAGTGGGAACCCCTCCGAAGGGCAGGCCCTGCAGCACGGTACTGCGGATCCGGGCTGAGTAGCAGTAGTCTTTGGAGGCATTGCTGTAACAGTTGGCCTGACTTATACAGGTCGGGTTCCCAAAACTCCACATCATCATGACCAGATGTTTCACCTCAATCACTGCAACATCCTGATGAAGAACCTGAAGAGAAGATGAAACGGATAAGATTATTTATACTCATTCTAACTACACAAAAATCTAACATTCTAGATCCAAGTTTTTTTTAAATAAAAAAATGCTATATTTATACTTAAATAATAATAGTAATTATTGGTTGATTGATATATTACCGTATATTGGCCGATATTTGAATTTTTTTAATTATCAGTATTGGCCGATAAGTGTCAAAAACAGCTTTATTTTTCATTTTTTTTTAAGAAAAAAAAAAAGATAGATTTGTACTTAAATAATAATAGTAATTATTGGTTGACAAATATATTACTATATAGGCCTATCGGGCCAATTTGTGACATTTTTTAATTATTGGTATCGGCCAATAAGTGTCAAAAACAGCTTTTATTTTGACAGCAATGAGACAAGAATATTTTTAAAGAAAAAATTATATTTATACTTAAATAATAATAATACTTATTGGTTGGCCGATATATTGCCATATATCAGCCGATATTTAAAAATTTTTAATTATCGGTATCGGCTGATAAGTGTCAATAAATGCTTTCATTTTGACCGTGCTAAGAACAGCAACTCCTGAGTGCACATGCAAGCATAACCTTTAAATCCTTCATTTTGAACTATGCAAACTATTCATGCTTTAACTAATTCTTTGTAAAATTAACTATTTAATTTCAGATAAATTTTTTAAAAATAAGTAAAAAAAAAAATGTAGGAAAATTTACATATTTATTATTAAATAATGGTAATTACTGGGTAACCGATATACTGCCAAGGCTAATATATGGGCCGATATTTAACAATAAATTATCGTTATCGCCGATGTGTGTCGGAGGCAACTTTTTGACAGCGACAGGAAGAGACTTTTATTTTGACAGTGCACCTGAGCGTAGAACTAAGCAAACTATTAATGGTTTTAATTATTTCTTTGTGAAAAATACTAGCTAATTTTTTTAACCAAGTTTTATCATATTAATTCATTTTACAAGTTATGATTTCTAATTTAGTAAATATAGAGCCAAGGCTGGTACATTGGCTGATATTTTTCATTGCATTTCATTGCAATTTTCATTTCATTTTAAATTTCATTGCAGCAATTGTTACGCATGTTACATATTTTTTACATATACTGTATCTCATCATATTTATCACATATTTTACATATGTGCAATCGGTCACTCTCCTCTTTAAGGTATAGGTATGGGCCATCGAAAAAGCCAATTCGTTTGACCACTAATAATAATAATTATTATAAAATATAATTATTTAATTTAGTAGTATTATTACTGCGGTAAAGCTGTACAAATGCACAGTCTCTGGCTTTTCTCCAACATCTCCCTCAACATTTAGAGTATTCAAATGGACAATCATCATGCTCTCATCAACACTGAGACAACAAGCAGATATGAAAGCAGTCAGCATCATCTGACAGTCTCCTCACCCTCATACTGAGTGCGGTTATATAATACAGATCGTTCTGACGCAATGGAACACTAGACACTCGTTTGATGAGCATCCAACTCCTCTCCTCCGTCTGAATCAGCCCACTCGTCCCAGAGCTCACCTGCTCTCACACGCTCCACCGGCAACATCCATCCCCTCTGCGGCCCACTGCCGCCAACACCTTGTCAGGAACCATGGGAAATCTAAACAGCCCACACAGATCCACGGCACTAAAAACAGGACGGATCATTTCAGCTACATCTAAAAGCTGATTTCAGGCAAGCACAGGGGAGTTGAGTGTTTGTGCCACACCGGTGACAGACGTCTGTCTGGGAGTTTTCTGACTGAAGGAAAACAGATATCTATCTGCTAGTGGTCTGAGGTTGTAGGTTCGAACACATGCAGGTAGATTCAATGCAATGTTGCTGAGATGGATGAATGTTTTACCTATAATAACTAGTTGCAGTATCAGACGATACGGCCACAGTTCAACCAGTTGCTGCAATCACTAGTTCAAATGTGATTTGACAGAATTTGCACAACTATTATGACTGGCCAGCATCTATACAGATTTACAGCAGTAAATCAGAGGAAAAAGGAAGATTTGCAGTAAATGATGACTTCAATTTGGGTCAAGATGTGACTTTTATAATATCTAATAACAACAACAACAATAAACAGAAATACAACTGTTTACGCTGTTTACAGTTGTACGTTGAACAACTGAAATAGGCACAAATGTGTTTCTAAAAATAATTAAACCTAATAAATGTAATTCTACATTGCCTCCCACAAGGCATAAAACTTAGTTCAAAATAAAAGACTGATAAATGATAAAATTGTATAGGCTTGCATGAGTACTGTCTGCTCATATACTGTAATAGTTGATAAATTGATTAATCATTGATAATTCATTGTTTTCAATCTGCACCAGATGAGAGAGCTTTACTTTCAAGACCAAAAGACTGTACTGTTTATGTAAAGAGTGGCCAGGATAAATTCAAAATTCGCATTTTGGGGTTTGGAACCACATAAAGTAAAAAAGTATATATATACAGTATATAAAATAATAAAATATAATAAAACTAATTAAATCATGATTATTTTTTATTTTGGGTGATCTATTTCTGCTGCAAAGTGGTAAAAGTGGGATTATATCTAGCATATGGAGCCAAAGAGTTGTACATTCAATAGAAAGTGTATTTAAACTGTGTTCCTTCAGTCTGGAGGAGAAACACAGATAATGCATGAGCACTAATCCTGAAACCCTGGCCTCAGTGCTGTGGCCCTTCTGTATGTGAAACAGATTGTGCTACATCACAGTGTCGGTGCCAGTAACGGCTGAGGATGACTGGATCAGCGCTGAAGAGACATGATCCAACCCCTGGCACTGTCCGAACACAGCACATGAGCGGCTAATGGACTCGATCCGCCAGCTGAGACTCAGTGAGACTCAGGCTTAACACAGAGAGAGAGAGAGAGAGAGAGGGAGAGAGAGGATAAGAAGGCGAGGTCGGGCTGCAGCGGCACTGCGGTAGATTGTTCTGCTACACTGGCCTCAACTCTCCTTCAGCCACAGGAGCCGTTCCAAACACCTAGTGTGCTGCCTACATAGACAGCATCACAGACACACTCTACTGCAGTGCTCTTATTTCTGTATCATGTACATATAATGATGAAAAACACATTTACTATATTATATTATTCTTTATTACTTTATATACTGTGTGTATGTGTGTGTGTGTGTACTGTAATTTAAACAAAATTTTACATTTATCCATTTTAGCAGATAAATCTAAATGCATCAAATTTATTAGCTTTTTAAATAAATTACATAAATATATAATATAAACATTAATAAAAAATGAACAAAGAAAATATATGAATAAAAATAATAAAATAAATAAAATACACTAATAAAAATATAAATGAAACAAATACATATGAAAATAAATAGTAAGTAAAATGTAAAATAAAGTTAAATGCAAAAATAAACATTTCTACAATTCCTGTAGTGCCAAATACTATAAATAAACTAAATCCACTGACTGCCTGAGTAAAAAATAGACTGCTTTTAAATGCTCATATGCAAATTTGCATCTAAATGTAATGCACTTGTGCACAGTCAAATGTTCTTAGTCAAAATATCCATCTTAGTAAGATATTAAATGCAAACAGTTGGTTTATTTTGCAATAAGAATGCGCCTAACGAACCTGCCAACAATATTGACAAGAATAAAAGAAAACCACCATGTTTACTTGAAGACTACATGATATTATTCATATTTAACTTTTTTTTTAAATGAGTTCAATAGGAGATAACAATATAATTAGGCCTAGTATATATATATATATATATATTATAGTATAAACTTAGTACACCGCTAAAGCAGAAGGAAATGCAGAAAAGAGAACACTTTTACATAATTATTATTTTTTTCTTACATTTTTGTTTCTGATGTATGAGTTAAGTGCTTGTGCAAAAAGTTAGTCTATAGTGTTGGCATCAACTACTGAAATTTTTGGCTTTGTAAAAAGTTTTTTTTTTAAATCTGACAGACGGAAAGCCTGTGTGAAACTGTGAATGTCCGCTTAGTAGGAAGCTGCCTATGTAGACTGACGCTTGAGGAACAGCACTAGTACAACTCTTCTGTCTCTGTTCTGAAGCAGCATCACTCATGCATTCAGAACAAACATGCAGCTTGTAGAAATGCAATCAAGTAGCTCGCAAAATAATCACAGACACAGAGATACTGAACCAAATATGAGGCCAAGCACAGCACAGACACCTAATAATGGAGTTTCAGCACAGCTATAGTGAAGAAACGGACAATCTGTTGAGGTCAGACATTGCTCATGTAATCTAAAGATGCAAGAGAACGTCCTGACAGAAAGTCAAAGCAGCCCGTCAGGCTGGTCCAATAACATCCTGAACGTCCGGGGAAACAAAAAGGTTCAACAGACTCACGGCTCATCATCTTCACAGCAAGACATGGTCATTAATATTCTCCATTCATCAATGGAAAACAAACGGAGCAAAACTGTGAGCGAAACTAACGCTGTTCTCAATCCAGATGGCAGTGCAATCATTTCCATTCATTCAAAAGCATCACAAATTATGAATATCACGATTCATATTCCATATGCAATACAGCTCAATGAGATTCCAGAAATAAAAACGGCATTAAAGATTAAAATTGATATTTAGGGGTTGATAACAAATAAACTCCTCGAGACAGACGTTCTGAGGTTCTTAAATGCATATCTTTAACTACACATGATTACATAAGACTCGAGAGAGTTAATTACAGACCGGTTGTGCAGGTACGAGTCAGATAGGACTGAAAATTATGACGATCAGTGAGTGAGTCAGCTGGTAACTCAATAACATCTCCAAATGATTCAGTGAGTCATTCGACTGATTCAGACTGATCATTCAGTTCTAGGCTGAATGAATCAAACCACACTGGTCACGCTGAGTGTTTGCTGTTGCATTCAATATAAAGATATCTATCTTCTATCTTAATATAAAGAGGTGTTGTCTATTTATAGCTTTTGTGTTATAA